CAGTGTCTGCTAATGGGTTCATGGGTAGATGGAGGCCTTTTGGTNTCTAAACTCAGCAACGGCTTCGATTCTTGGGCAGTCGGCTATATCGGAGAGTGCCACTGTCCACTGTTTCTCCTTTGTTCAAGCTTTAAGTTCGATGTACTTTGTGGTCTTGAATTCTCTCCTGATTAAGGTCTTCATTGTGTGGAAAGACATCGGCCGGTCCATGCATTGCAAAATCGTTGTCCTCTTCTTATCGAATATGTCAGCAAGCTCACTGCCTTTAATGCCACAGTGACCAGGAATCCATTGTATGACCACTGTTTTGTTTTTTCTCTCAGCATCTGATACAGTTTTTTACATTCGTTTATCTCAGCTGTTTTGGGAGGCTCTCTGTTTCCAATAGAGTTTATTGCTGACTGTGAGTCCGAAAGTATCACCGATTCAGTGAATTTCGTATCCAGGCAACATAATTGGCATAGTGTTATCCTAATAGTCTCTATTTCTGCTTCGAAAGCGGATCTATTGTCCCACTGCTGCACCAACGTGTGCTTGGTTTTCTGTGTAAGACCCATCAGTGAAGACTTGGAGCCATTGATCTGTAGGATAGTTGACATTGATTGTCTCAGGGGCCTGTGAGCGCATTTATTCTGGAGGGGTGTTTGATTTCCTGAAGAAGTCAAGCAGTTGGGCGCAACACACTACATCAGTGTCTGCTAATGGGTTCATGGGTAGATGGAGGCCTTTTGGTTTGTCATCGAATTGTAATTCTTTCTTCAGTTCTATGGCTTTCTGTATTAGACCAGATTGCGTTTTCAGATGTCTTGGTCTATTTTCATAGGTGCTGAAGAATTTATCTATGGGAATGCGCAGTAGCTTCACATACAGGGTCAAGGCCTTCTCTTTGATAAGGGAACACATTGTGGTGCTCCCTGTAACTAGGAGCATTGCATCAATGGGTGTTGATTTTATCCCTCCAGTAATTAGTCGTATGCTTGGTTGTGTGCCTTCTTGAGTGGTTTGAGTCACCTCTGTGGCTTTCATGAGTGGTCCACAGCAATACAACATTATTTGATGAATAAACATCTTGTAAGTGGTGTCAAGGATTGAGCGTACACAGTCCCATGCGCTACCAGCAAGACGCTTCAGTACATTCAGTCTATTGGGGACTCGTTCTGCTATTTTAGTAATACTTGGATATCAACTTAAGTGATATACGCATGACAAACATTAAACTTCTCCCTTTATTCTGTTGCAACCGAGTGCTGATCTATGTAATTTCTTCCTATTTGACAACTCAAGCTACGTGTGACTACTGCTATTGAAGCGATTTTTAACGTATTAGCTTCAATAAAACGTGATATCATCAGATAACCAAACAAAACTTTTCGTGTTTCTGGCCACAGCCCGCTGAGAGGAGTTCTAAAACTGCTCTTTATTGTTCTAAAATACACGTCAAATTGTTTATACTTTTTCTGTTTGTTTTTTTTACAATTAAATGGCAGGTAATCTATAAAATGGAAGGTGAATTGGTGCAGCAAATGCATGCTTATAATAGCAAAAAGCATCGTTCAAGAATTTTCATCTGGATCATGGTGAAACCAACTAAATATCCATTCAGAAATCTCAAATATGACCTTTTTAAATTCAGATTTGAATCAAATTGATTACTACGCATTTGATATCTAGTAATATACGCTAAAATTTTTCTCTCTCATTTTCTCATAATTAATAGTATGACAAGGAAGAAACCTGCTATATGGGTGTCACACTTACGCTGCATTACAAGAAGATTGTTTTTAGTGAATCTTCTCAGACGTGAAATACATAATCAGATTCTTAGAGCCAGTATGGTATATTTCAACATCGGCACTGCATTGAATATCGTAGCATTGGCTGGGTATTTGTGCAACAAATTGGTGGTTGATCCCCATATGAGCGCAGAAAACATAGCGTAAGTTTTCCCCAATTGACAATTCTTACTCCCGAGTGAACACAAATCATCAGCGTAGCCCTACCTTTCAGGTCTTTTGCAATTCTTGGAGTTGCACTGCAAATTATAAGCGTTTTCGGCTTTCTTGCAGCGTCACAAATTATGCAACGGATTGAAATTCTTCGGAGTTTGCAGTGGAAATCTGAGTAATATCACTTAAGTTCAATTTAATGGATCGATTGTGCACTTAACAGATAATAATGAACAGTTTCTTTTAATTATAGTCAACGTTATTATGATTTGGTTCCTTCAAACAAGCCTGCAAACCTGAGATCTTCAACAAAAAAGTTCAAAAGAAGATGATAACGCCAAGAAAATTTTACTATCGACTACTTGGAAAATTGAGTAAAAAATGGGATTGTTTCATCTACCCGCTTTTATTTAATTTTCATTTTGACAGAACCATTGCATATGTAGTAGAATTTTGCCAATTAAGATTAATAAATGATCCCTGATAATATTGTTGTTCTTCAATAAGACACTATATCGTTAGGTTGGGACCTACTAGCTTCACTGTTAGAGTTACGGTGATCGCTCACTCTGCTTTGCATTCTTTGCCGCCAAAATTTAAACACGCAAGCTGAAGGTGCCGATTGCTAATAAACATTTAACCATATGGGAAGGTAAGATGTCGGCAACTTCAACTCGCTCCAGTGTTCCAGATGGGCAGATAAGAATTTCTTTGCAGATGAACGCGATGCCACATCAATACATTGACGTGGCTTTCCTTAACACCACCGAATAGTTTTTATCGGTTTGACCCATTCTTTCAAGGTGGTGGTCACCTTTTCGATACCCGTCAATGAGACCTATTATCTAAATGGTAAACTAATACTGGTGATTTGATGTAATTTAGCGACTGAAAGATACATTGCCTGATATAATGAATGGGAGTCGGTAAACTGTAAAGATTTTTTCGAGAGGATGAGCAGTATTGCCCATCATTAGTTCCATCAATAGATGCACTTTTGTGTCCGAAACACGTGCCAAAATTAGATTTTGCACTACTAAAACTCAAGACACCTTGAGAGACAGGGAGACACGTTTAAACACATTGTTCCATATTTACTTTTAGATCCACTATAGCTTTTATGATAACCTACTCTATAAGATGTTTCACGTCTAAGATCTGACATTATACTTCCTTTCAACCGTTAATCATATTAGCCATACATCAAATACTAAGCTTCAGATATTTTGGAGTCCATCTCCTAATAAAAGTACTCCTTACAGGCTTTAGCGCCATTAAAATAGCATAATCTGTGAAGGTATACTACGCAGATGTGTCAACCCATCCAGCGCATAATGACCTTCAGTTGCTCTACCACCCTCCTGCTCTGTGCAACCAAAAACCTCGTAAACATGATTTTGTTCAGCAATATTTTCTTCAAGAGAGTATGCCAATACCAAAATGCGAAATGAAGTATTTTAGGTCCCCATCTCTCGGTCTCATCAATACAAAAGCCAGGTAAACGAGGAAGGATTCCGCCACTTCACCTTTACTCTCAAAGCGGCTTCAGAAGTTGAGGGCTCGAACGATTCTTAGAAACGTATAAGCCAAACACTTTACTCGGTCTTTTGAAGTCAGAAGCTTAAAGCTCCGCATACGTAACTCCGTTTATCTATTATATATTATTTTGAAGGAGTTAATGAAGAAATACATTATTAGATTGGTTACATGGTGGTTCATATTAGTTCTGCTCCAATTCCCATACAAAAGGCAAATTGGGAAAACCTACTAATAATACAGTAAACAAGTACAGCAGTGGTCAATGCTATAATCATAATTTACCAAAAAGCTAATGGGAGTAAAAAGGGATTTGTAAAGAATTTACAAAGAAAACAAGACTACAAAGTCGTACAAAATCTACAATGTCTTCTCGCTCTTCCTCTCAAGAGCAGCCTTGCGCTGTCCGCAAGTGGCAGGAAAAGAGAAGACCTGATAAATGGAAGCCAACCATCGAGGTACCGCACCGAATGCTAACAAGCCCCCCATGTTAAATCTAAGCACATCCCCGTCCGATACAAATTTCTCATCCCCCTTTTGAGTATTCACATCATACGTGGGTAGTCGGTAGGCTAAGAGGTAGGATGGATTGCAATCATCAAGTCTAAGGCCAGTCTTCTTTTCAAAGCACTGCTCTACAGACGCAGGAATGTAGTACTGATCTAAAAGAGGAAGGGGTAAGGGAGGTTCATGACTCCTCATTGATACACGGAGAGAGAGAGAGAGATGAAGGAATGAATAACCAACAAACCTTCCGAATCACACCCGTTGAGAGTGCGCTGTATCTGATATTTTAGGACAGAAGACATTTGCTCCCCATCCTCGCCTAGAGAACCTCTGGTAACATTGGCTAGAGTCAACATGGCTTTGCGTGCAGAGGGAAGAATGCTTACAGTCCAGAAAGCGTTCCATTCTCTCCGCCAGGAGTAGTATTCTATACCACCATTTCGGAGACTAGAATGGCAACCGGCAACAGCTGCGTCGAGAGACAAAGCACGGAAGTGACGCCATGCGACTAAGAGTTGATGCTGACAGATTAGAAGTAAGGCTGTTACACCGATGTAGACCATACCTCTGGCAGATCGAGAGACGGCAGAATGTAGGCCTAACAGACGGTTGAGTCCGAAGCATACCTGCATTTAAATAATTGATTCGTACCCAAGTTTCTAATAAAGCAACTATATCAATTACTGGAATAAAAAATAATTACCACTACAACAATTAGATTTTCCTATTCAGATTTGCTGTTAATCAAGTCAAGATTCTGTAAGGAAAATTAGCAAACTTGTTTTAAGGGCAGTGCAACCTTTTACCCTTATATTAAAAACCACTTTATATAATATTAAAGCGTGCAATTTCGATCAAGGCCAAGAAGCACATTTTCCTCCCTAAATCCGTTAGATGTGAATAATAGAACACTAATTGCATAGAGAGATTAAGAAAATCATAACAATTCACTTATTTTGCGAAAAGCAGAGAAATCATAAATAGAAATGTATCCCTTCAATCGACATGGAGATATGCAAAAAGAATCTTCGGATGACAAGGATAAGCCATTACAACTCGACAACTATTTGATACTTCTAAGAAGCATGGTGCGTTACAACGCATAACTAAACCATAGATAGCAATACATAAGCTGAAGCAGAATCTATTGTAAACGTATTGAACATATAAGCGCCTATAAGCGCGTTGGAGTCGATGATAAAGAAAACAAACCTGATAAGCAACATAAAGGGTGCCAATAAAGGATAAACGGGAAATATGGGAGACAGCCCGAGGTGAAAGGAAGGTTCCTAACGTCTGTTCACCATATGATGAAGCCTGCTGACAAAAATCGGCCAATTTGCTGGAGCCAAGTAATGCGGCAACTTCACGAGCAATAAGAAACTCCAAAGCTGCATCCGATATGCACATCAAATCCAATCGCCTTTTGGCTTGCTCAGAGAGCATCGTGAAAGGAAATAGAGGCCTAAAATATGGTTAAAAGGCAAAAATCGTGAATGTTTATTAGTTATGAGCACAAAAATCCCTACTTAAGGGCAATAAGTAGGAAAACTAACGAGGAAAATTGAAGGTCTTCAAGAGGGATATCTTCAGTCTGCTCATACCCACAAAAACAAGGCAAACCAATAAATGCGTAGCCTTTGAAGTCCGCACTGTCAGACACCCGCAATGTACCAATAGCAATTGATTCGGCGTTTTTTGTTAAAAAGAAATCAATTTTGTTGCTTATCGGTTCTGGGATATGCATCTTGTCAAAGACCTAAAAGTAGAAAAATCGGCATAAGAACAAGTCCTTAAGAATTTTCTTTAACAGTCAAACCCAAGCCATACTGATTTAGCCAATCGAATGACGCGATCTGGAGGCTTCATATCTTGGTCATATTCCTTCTCGACATGAATCCAGCGATTAAATACTTCCAAGTGGGATTGAACCAGAGAAGAAAAAATCCCGCCACCTAGGAGACAAGCAGCCCCGAGTAACTGTGATTTGCAAAACATTCTCTCTAAGTTAAAGACAAAAATCAGAAGCTTGGCATTAATATGCACACTAATTAATCATTTATTAAACTCAACCCAGTAAATCTCAGAGAACGTTAAAAATAGAGCCAGAGGAGGACTCAAGGACATGGATTCTATATTTCCGCCTATGTGAAGAACGTATATAACAAATTATTTTCACTCACACATTACTTGATTAAATTATGAAATTGACAGTAGTTCGAAATACATATCAACGTTGGTTAGTTTATTGCTCGATCTTCGCTACAACGTTCGAAGTCCATTTATTAGAACGTGTAATATGTAAAAGTAATTAGCTTAGCTAGTTTGAAACAAATAAAATTATAGTCTTAGTTGAATTGAAGCAGAAAAGGCTTTTGTATAAATCTGCATTATATCGACTGATCACATGAAATTTTATTAAAAATTAGACTTTAGAGAACTTAAATTGTTACATCTTTTACATCTGACCTCATAATAGTGGTTGCAATTCATTACAGCTTACTGGCATGCATTAAATAATAATAGAAAATCGAATTTTAACGATTATATAGGAGCCTTTGAAAGTTCACCATTATGACAATTATTATTAGTTCAAAGATTTTGATTTAAAAATGTCTTCGAATTGTTTTTAATTTTAGTAGTATTGGTATTTGAAAGTTTTAACAAGATTTATGGATTAAGCCGAGTAACATTCGGAAATACAAGGAAGGCATATGTACTGAGACACAATGGGTCGTTTCAAAGGTTCATTTCAGTGAAAAAGCGTTTCTCTTGATAGCGAAAGCGAAAACAAAATTTGAGTTCGAAATGAAATTGCTTAACTTCATTTTCTTATAAGAGTATGTTATGATATTGAATTAACAAATACGAAAACACGAAATTTGTCCCTCATCAGTAGCTGAAAGATATGGAAAACAATGTTTTTTTAATTCTAAATTTTAAATAAAATCGGCGAAAATTATTAGGCATGTCTACTCCAAATGTATTATTTGCTTAAAATTGAAAACCGGAATAAGCATTTGTTTACTATAAAATGGATACTACTTATCTATTAAGCGCATTCACTGAACAAAAATTGTAGAAATCGTAAGAAATAAAGGTACAATGGCCCGTAATTTTTACTGCAATTCGTGTCACTTTGATTGCAATTGAACACATTTTAGACGCATTCATGAAAATGTATCCTTTTCAGGTATATAAACAACCTCAGCGCTTTATTATACAGTAGCAAATTTGTAATCTCAATAGTAATCTTGTGTAGCAACCGCATTTAGAAAACCCAGCGATTTAACAACTCAATATATAAACCAATGGCTCCGATCAGTAAACAAGTAGCGAAAGTGATTTACGGAGGGCGAACTCAATCGATATTGAGTCAAGCAGTAAGCATTATAACAAAATGCCATCTATTAGAATGGAATTGCATTTATATTTATGAAAGAAGTGTTCAAAGGGGAAATTGTAAATATGGCTTCTCATACATTCCCTTAAATTATTTTTGTGTCGAGCCACCATTTCGTTTCAGAACCCCTACCATACTCAGTCTTCACCTATCTTTTCTCTACCTGGCTGATTTGCTGTATGAAAATATGAGTTTATTCATTTTCTTCAAATCGAATACTCTTGGGTGAGTTAATGCGAGAATTGGATTAAGTGGCAGTTATCTTCGATCAAGAAGACAGTAATGAACGGTGGGACACGTCATCTATTAACGCTTCAGCACATTCACGCAAGCCAGGATTGGGAGGCGCGGCCGTACAACTCTGTGCAGACAATTGTACAATCAGAAGCCTCCGTTCGTTTAACCTTATCCGCCATCCTGATCATGATTAAGCTCTCTGCGTGTACGCTTTACCCGCAATATCCTAATTGAATAAACGTGTTCCGTGCTATACGTCTGTTTTCTTTATAGCTGGGCTATAGCTTAGCTAGTTTCGGTCTGTTTCCTTTATAGCTGGGCTATAGCTTAGCTGGTTCGTAATATGCTCACTGAATAGACGTGCTCCGTGCTACACGTCTGATACCCGTACTGAAAAAACGTGCTCCGTGCTACACGTCTGAATCCGTACTGAATAAGCGTGCTCCGTGCTACACGTCTGTTTTCCCGTATCGAATAAACGTATTCCTTGCTACACGTCTGTTTTCCGCTACTGAATAAATGTTCCGTGCTACACGTCTGTATCCTCTGTAGAATAAACGTGCTCCGTGCTAAACATCTGTTTCCTTTATATGCAATATACGTACCGAATAAACGTGTTCCGTGCTATACGTCTGTTTTCTTTATAGCTGGGCTATAGCTTAGCTAGTTCTGGGAGTCTAGCTAGATGTAGAAGAATCCGCCACGGAGATTTCTGAGCCAGTCAGGCTTTACTATTGTATCAATCCACTACAGAACTATCATTCGTTTTCCAAATAATTTATTTCACGTTTAAGATTTGTTTCTCAGAAACCTAACTGAAGTTTAGATGCTCTAAGATATTATACTCAAAAAAATTATACATTTAATTTTTTATTGGAAACCCCCGGAATTAGACATAAATTGCATAACGAATATAACACTAGTATTAAAACCTCTAAAAGCCACGCAACAGTCAGTCGAAGCAATTTTAATTAATTGGGTTTCCCTAGATTATATGGAATCAACTAACCAATAAAACAACCTAACGAGTTGGCTCATCTATTCAGTTGGTCAACGGAATCAATGTTCTATTGGCGACCATTATATACCCCTCATTCGGTCTTTTTCATTCACCATTTAAATAGTCGGCTATTCCTCCTGTTATTGAAATCTTGGCTTTGGAAGTAGCTTATCTTTTCTTCGGTTTGATAATGACTCGTATCGTCTTTGTAATCAGCTTATAAAGCTGGTAAAGTTCGATTGAGTATATAGACATGTTTTGAATGCTATTGCCAGAAGGTGCGCATGCAGGCCTGACAGCAGCACCTATTATTCGATTTTATCTCGAGGGATATCAAATTAAATTCGTAAAAATTAATGGGCATGCGAATTGGCATCTTTTGATTAAGTGGGCTTTCGGTACTCGGTCTTGAATAAAGGACACAGAATGTCATACACGCGTGCTATTGTCTATCCCTTGAAACTACTACAACAACCTCAGAAGATATCTACAATTAAAAGGTTTTCAGTCTCCCACAGACTAACAATTGTAGGGACTTCGGAAGCCGATAATTTAGCCGCATGGGGTTCGCGATAGACTTACCTCCACGTGGTGCACTCTGGGCAACGTATACTCATACGGCAAAAAATGTCTATTAACCGGCAGTTGACTTCTGAGTTCAAGCTATCATGACCCCACTCTACGTCATATTCGACTACTTCCACAGTGCTCACCTCAAATTTCATCTACTTTTGTGTCTGTCTCTTTTTCATCTTTCCCCCCCCCCATCTCGACTTTTTTCGATTTGATGTTCCTCTCCCTTTGTGAAGCCTGAAGTCAACTAAAGGGCAAATGATAACTATCATAAAGCCTGCCATTTGATATACATACATAATTTAGCCG